AAAAAAAAAAAAAAAAAAAAAGAATCAGAAAAGGGGTCTTCTTGCATCTGCTGATTTTTAAATGCGTTTAATTAAAAACCGTCTATAGGCTACGGTGGTACATTTTTAACTCCTTCAGTTTTTAATCTATAAGCCCATTCTTGGGCGAAGGCGGAGGTAAATTGATCATGACCCTGCAGTGTGATGCGTGTGCAAAGGTCGAGTGTCTGCGACTCCTGGATGCTGGGCGCGCAGGGCAGGGGTGAGGCGGGACGAGGCGGTGGCGGGGGAGGAGGGGGCGCGGAAGTCCCGCGGTCCCCGGGGCCGGGTCCGGGCGCTCTGCGAGCCTCTCATTAGCCGGCGGCGCGGGGAGGGGCCAGGTGACCTCACGCTGTCCGGGCCTCAGCGGCCATTAGTCCGGGTCCCATTGCTGGGGCGACCGCGCAGCCTCTGAGTCCGCGAGGTGGGTGGAGCGGGTCTTTCTGGAAGGGTGCTTTGATAAGGCCGGGCGAGGTGCTGCCTGGGATGCTGCTCCTCGTCCGCTAGGAAGAGATGAAATTGGGTGGGGCGGGTGTAGACGAGTCGGCAGAGCAGCCTGCAGGCAGCTGCCGCCTCCTGGGCGCCCGCTGGGCCCCAGCGAGAAAGTTGTAAAAGGGAACCAGGTGGTTGTTCCCGGGGTCCGCGGCGCGCCTCGCACGCTCTCCCGGCCAGAGGCCGCCGTCCCCGGGGTCTGGGGACGCAGTTTCCTGTTAATGACAGTGAATCCCTGCTCCCCCTGCCTCAGACACCTAGGCCGCGAATTCGAGCCTGACCTTGAGGGTCCACACCGCGAGAGAGAAGATGCGTGCGCCCATTGTAAGTGGGTGCGGGGCGGGGTGGGGCGGTGCGGGGCGGGGGTGGTGGGAGCCCCTTGTGAGTTGGGACTCGTCTCGGAGCCTGACTTGTTGCTTCCAGGAGAGGAGGACGTGGGGGCCACACCTTTGTCAGCTGCGGCGCATCGATGTCAGCTGCGGGTCGGCGTGCACATGTTGGTTGGAGTGGTCTCAGGGCGCGTCCTTGTGGGGTCCAGTGTGGGGGCGCCCTGCCTGAAACACGCCCAGCGGAAGGCCGGACCCTCGGGAGGGAGGCGGCCAGGGGGCAGGTCTGTCCGCAGAAGTTCGAAGGGCGTTGCCCTCCGGAGCCACATCCCGACACCGGGACAGGCCTTGGGGGCACGCATCCCATGACCAGCCCTGCCAGCAGACTGTTACGGCTTTTTGCTATGGCTTTTCCTCTCTCCCAACCTCTGGTTGAGACATCCTAACTGTGCTTGGCGACTGCCTCCCTCCCGCCTGGCCGGACAGCAGCAGAGGGATTCCGAGGAAAGGATTTGGAGGTGGACCCACCTTGTGTTGAGCACCTGGCTGTGGGAGCCCGATCAAGTTCAAATCCACTGTTTCCCAGAGTGAAGGCTGTATCACTTAATACTCAGGAAATGCCCAGAACAATACCTAGCACACAGTTTGAGTGCGCAACCATAATTCACTGTTGTTATTATCTCAGTCCAGATAGAGGTCAGGAGTTTGAGACCAGCCTGGCCAATATGGTGAAATCCCGTTTCTACTAAAAATACAAAAAAATTAGCCGGGCGTGGTGGTGAGCAGCTGTACTCCCAGCTGCTCGGGAAGCTAAGGCAGGAGAATCACTTGAACTCAGGACACGGGGGATTGCAGTGAGCTGAGATCACGCCACTGCACTCCAGCCTGGGTAACAGAGTGACCACCCATTTCAAAAAAAAAAAAAAAAAAAAAGGAGTTTTGCCTGGTGTCAGGGTGTATCTAGCATATTTGACACCTGGAGTGGTCACTTTTTTATTTTTTTGTTTTGAGACGGAGTTCCACTCTGTCATCCAGGCTGGAGTGCAGTGGTACAATCTCTGCTTACTGCAATCTTCCCCTTCTGGGTTCAAGGGATTCTCCTGCCTCAGCCTCCTGAGTAGCTAGGCTACAGGCACGCGCCACCACACCCAGCTAATGTTTGTACTTTTAGTAGAGTCGGGGTCTCACCATGTTGGCCAAGCTGATCTTGAACCTCTGACCTTGTGATCCGCCCACCTTGGCCCCCAAAGTGCTGGGATTACAGGCGTGAACCACCGCGCCAGGCCGAGTGGTCACTTTTTAATATCATTCTCCTCTATCTGACATTTTTTTTTTAGCAATAATCATGCAATGAATAGTAATAACGTCCAGAAAGAAACACAGAGAACATTTTCTTTATTGAACCTCATATATGTCATCATGACAGTAAAAAAATTAAAAATGAAAAATAAAGTAAATGTGATAGTGCAAAAGCAGGAAAAAGTAATGGATTAGTAGGTCATGACCACATTAATGTATTTTTGAAAAAAGGAAAAACTTATTATTACATATAGTCTGGTATCAGTGGTGAATAATAACACCACTACAATTTCTGTTTTGGAAACTTCTGACAAGTTGGCCATGACATTGAGTCAAATCGATCTTCTTTGCATATTCATGTTCAGTATTCAGGGGAGCTATATTTACAAGTCCGTCTTTGCTCACAGTTGATTGAAGAACACTTTTTATTAATGTTAATTTCAAAAGCTGCTTTCGTATAAAAGTAGAGAGACAAAGGAAAAGCCTTAAACATTAGGATGAGTTTGGGAGAGATTTATAAAAATCCCATTTCATTATAAATTCCAGACTCTGCAATACCGCCTAGGTCTTTTTTCCTTTAATCAGTTCTAGCAGCTTCAATGTCTCCTTGTTAGAAACATTTTCACTAAGACAGGCTGGGTGCAGTGGTTCATAACTGTAATCCCGGCACTTTGGGAGCCAGAGTGGGAAGATCACCTGAGCCTAGGAGTTTGAAGCTGCCGTGGGTAATACAGCAAGACCCCATCTCTAAAAATGAAGCAACAACAAAATCTTCACCAGACACTACATCATGCATTTTAGTTTTATTTGGCAAAATTCCCCAAGCTCTTCTTCTGCAAAAATCAGAGAAAATGGCTGAGTGATAGTGAACCTTGACATTTATTTAATCCATTGCTTTAGAAATGGTGAAAAATCACCCAGGCTTTCAAACATCATTCTTTCAGTTTCTTTTGGCACTGGGAGACAGGCTGGTTTCTGTTGAAACGCAGGAAAATGCAGGACCAAAGAGACTGGCTACATAAACTGTATCAAATGAGTTCAGATTATTCTGAACCTTTAGGAACTGATTCAGAACTTGTGGCTGAATCTGTGTGTTTCAGGAACGACTGTAACTGCGTGTTTTCTGATTTAACCTCCATGTAGAAGACAAAAGTTTTAAAAGCATAAGAAATAAAAATGTGCTAATTGAAGGCTCACATGTATATGATTAACCCTCAATGATAACTGCAGCCATTAGAATTTAGACCAATAAGACATGTTTTGGGGGAGTGGTATTTTATCACGGACATGGTTTAAAATGGCCAGCCCATGGTAATAATAAAACGCAGACTGACTTTTGGTAGGTTTTATTATTGTTTTGGAATTCCCTTTGGCCAGATATGGTGGCTCATACCTGTAATTCCAGCACTTTGAGAGGCCAAGGTGGGCGATCTGCACCACTGCACTCCAGCCTGGGTGACAGAGCGAGACCCTGCAGAAAAACCCAAACAAAAACAAAAACCCAGAACAAAGCTGTCCTCTACAGAAAACTTGCTCCTGTTTGTCTACAGTGGGGAAGGACAGCTCCTGCCTCCCCTCTATGGGCTTTTTTTTTGGGCCTGACAAATGTTATTGGCTGTTGAAGCAGCTCCCAGGACTCTCCTGGGGCTGGAAGAGGCTGTGTCCACAGTTTCCTGAGCCCTTTAGTTCAGCTTGTGATGCCTCCTGCTGTGATTATTTCTCTCCTCTCTGTGTTCCAAATTTGCTAGAATGAGTGGGTGGGGAGCCTTTCCTTTCCCCTCTCCACCTGCCCCATCCTCACATCTGTGGCTTGTTGAGCAGCTGCTCCCGAGGAAACGAAACTGAAAAGTGAAACTGAGGCTCCATAATATGAGGAAATTGATAAGCCTTCCGTGTTCTGTGAGTCTAGACTCCTTCATGGACTGCTCTGTGATCTAAGTTTGCCTGATGTTCTGATGGATCTCTGTGGAACTAGTTAAGGTGCAAAGGGGAGGGAAGAGAAGAGAGAAGAGGACCCTCCTTAAATAGCAACTGAGGCTTCAGGCCTTGCAGGGTTTCATCCCTATTCAGCCATAGGCTGAGAGGGGCTCGAAGAGGAAGCCGTGCATCCCTCCTGGCCATAAACCTCTGCTGGGGACACTGTAAGTGCCAGGCTGGATGCTGGTGAAGTCGACGGAATCTTGGCCCTTGGAATGCTGGCAGCCTGGCCATGGAAACTGATCACTTCTTTCCACAGGTCAGGCTTAACAATGACAGTAATCCAATAATAGGGCTCTGGCTTGGCTGTGGAGGCAGAGCAGCAACTTGCTTTGCTGAGGCTTCAGGGGACACATTGAGGAGTAGACACATTGAGCCCATCTTGAGGAATGAGTAGGAATCTTCCAGGTGAACAGCAAAAGGGCATTTCAGGCCGAGAGTGCGCAGAGGCAGAGGCCAGTTTTGCCGTGGGAGCACAGTTGTTGAACGTCAGAACCTTGGTGTGAATTACTTGGTGCAGTGGGAAGAACCTCACCTTTAATCAGGCAGATCTGCAGCGGAATTCTGGTGCTGCTTTTCGGAGAGCTGCGAGGCCTTAGGGAAGTTAATTCCCATCTCTGAGCTCAGTTTCTCGATCGGTAATTTGGGGCTCTTCCAAGGATTCAAGGTAACAAGTGAAAACCCCCAGTAGTGCTTGGTGGTAGTGGTGGGGGTGAGTAGAGGGGCCATTCTGACTCACCAGAGCATGAGGTATGCCCTGTAGGAGAATGTGGCCAAAGGCTGGGAGGATGGATGAGTTTTGCTTCTTTTTCCAGGATTCCCATGACCTTTAGGCTACTGAGGCTGGGCCTGGTGCCTGCCAGAGCTGCCACTATCTTTCCCCCACTTGCTAGGAGGACTGGGCACAGGGTGGTAATAAGGGAAAGTGTAACGTGTCAGACCAGCTGCTGTTCATCCTTTCTCTGCCTTCTCTCTGTGCCTGAGACTGGAAATCTGGGCGGCCACTCCTCCTCCCCTCCCCCTCCCCC